GGGGGGGGGGGGGGGGGGGGGGGGCTACCAGCAGAGAAGGGGAAGGGTCACCAGGACGTGTGAGGGTACCTGCCAGCCAGAAGACCCCTCAGTGCTCACCCCACATCCCAGTGAAGCCATGCTACCGAGCCCGGGGCTTCCCACTGGCCTTGTTGAGCAACTAAGAGCTGGTGTTTCCAAGCACTTCTTCACCTGCCTCTGTGTTGGGAGTAGCCCTGTGCCTGGCTTTGTGTCTACGGCACACTGTGATCCATCCCACTTGGCCCTGGAGAGCTGGGCAGGGTGCAAACCAAGGAGGGCCTCTTGTGACGGTTGTTAGCAGGGACATGGCCCACATATCAGAGCACCATGTTTAAAACTAAAGAGTGGCCCAGACGTCAGCCCTTTATATCAAGTATATCTCTGTAGAATGTTTGTAGGCAGCATGGTGGCCCAGGAGCCAGGAGCAGCTGGCAGGATCCTCCTGCTCTGTGCAGGCAGGAGCAGCTAAGGATCCATCCCCCTGGATCCTCCCCCCTCATAAGCCCCCCAAGTCCCTCTGTGAGGTGCAAGGGGGGTGCGGTCTGCACCCACTGCTCATTCAGTGTCTACGGGAAAAGCTGGCAGTGAACTCAGGAGGGAAACCGGTCCAGGCAGTCAGTGCTTGCTAGAATGCCTGCTCTCCGCAGGGCCCTGGAATTTTCAGTGAATAGAGGAGCACAGGATGCTGGCAAGGGGGGAGGGTTGTGGAAACTGAGGCAGGGGACAGAAAGCCATGGAACAGAGGCGCCTGCTCTCAGGAATCCTGGGTGGCATCCCAAGGTCAGAGCTGCTTCTGGGGAGACCTAAGTTCTTGGAATGCACCGTAAGGAACCCTACGTGGGATGACAATAACCTATCGACTCAACTTCAGCACTGAGAGGGACTTGAGAAATGTCCTCATCTGTGGGTTTCAAACTGTGTCCCCTGACCTTGAGCTCTGGGGGTGGGGGGCACCCAGGAGACAAGGCCTTGGACTAGCCACCTTTTCGCATTCTGTACTTTCAAGTGAGACTTCATGGGAGAATTTCCCGAGTGGATAAGTAGATTGCCCACGTCCCAGGGCTCAAGTCCAGATAGCTGTATCTCCTCTCCCGGCACCTTTCCCTCTCCAGTCTCGCTGGTCAGCCACACAGTGCTAACTGCTTCTCTGTCTTTTTCGTAGGCAATTGAAAATATTGACACGTTAACCAGTTTGGAGAGTTTGTTTTTGGGGAAGAACAAGATCACTAAACTTCAGAACCTGGACGCACTTACCAACCTGACGGTCCTCAGTATGCAGGTACTGACCCACCTTTGCTCCCATCTGGCCAAGCCCCGGCCGGCGCACCGCTGCCGAACAGCCTTCACCTTTGTCTGCCACCGCGTCCGGGATCGACGCTACTTTTACCGCCAGTGAGCAACCGAAATGTTAGGTTTCAGAGACTTAGACGTACGTGTGTGTTATATGCACACACAGCTAAAAGTTCCCTCCCTGGGTGGTCTCTAGCCAAGGGGGGCTTCTTGAGAAGGCTGCGTGTGCATGCTCTCAAGCCTCCCGGAGTGTCGGGCTCAGTGGTGGGAGCACTCCTTGCACACCCGCACAGAGAGCACAGCCCTGGGAGGGACTGGCAAGCACGCCCAGGTTCAGGTTCAGGCTGCCTCTTCTGCTGGAAGCGAATGAGTGGAACCGGACCCTCGAGGTGAGGTGCAGGAGGGCATTCTGGCTGCGGCAGGTCCACCAAAACCACCTGTGCCTTTTGCGAAGCAGACATTCTGCAGACTCTTAAAAAAGGAGGGCCTTGTACGTGAATTTGAGTTACAGTATGTCCTGAAAGAAATGAGAAGTGATTTATTTTACAGCATTCGTACATTTGACATTTTTGAATTACTGAATTAACTGGGGTAGGCCTTCCCCGGGCACACCTAAAAGAGTGAATTCCTCGCCTAAAAGCCCCCAGCCTTCACACACGCATTCTAGCCAGTGCAACAGCCTCAAAATTTTGATCTCTTTCTCTATGTGAGTTCCCACCCAGCGCGCTTAAAGTGTCAGCTCCTCAAGAGGAGAGCCCTCCTGTCCTAAAAGCCGTTTTTTCCATACCCTCCGTGCTATCCTGATGGTTGTTGCTCTCCCTGTCACAGAGCAACCGGCTGACCAAGATGGAAGGTCTGCAGAGCCTGGTGAACCTTCGAGAGCTGTACCTGAGCCACAATGGCATCGAGGTCATCGAGGGCCTGGAGAACAATGTAAGACATCCGCTGGTCCGGGGCGGTATGGGCATGGGGACCGGGCAGCCGCCAGCCTAGGCCTGGTCGGAAGAAGACTCGCTGCCTCGAGGGGCTCGTGGTAGAGACCTTCCCAAGTCTGAAAACAGAGAGCTCCGTCTTCACACTAGCACGTGCATAAAACACACACAGTGCTCCCCCTCCCCTTGGGGGAGCACGGAGCTGGCGCTGCATGCCGTGCGCACCATACAGTCACCAGCGGCACCGCAGCCATTTGGGAAGAATTTTGGAACACAGACCCCGCGCGTTCCTAGGTGCCCCGTGCTGCAGAGGGCTGGCAGGTGCTGGCTGCCGTCTCTCCCCCTCCATTCTGGCCGCCGTACTCCGTGGCAGCAGCCTTTTGGCACACGGGGGCCACGGGGGCCTCCAGGTCTCAGCTGCTCTGAGCTGAGCTCCTGCGCGTTTCCTGCTCCTCCCTGCCTTTCACCAGCCCTCGTGAGGCTAGGGAGGGCCTGTCCGCCTCCCACGGACGGCCCCGTTCTCACTCAGCACAGGACAGCCTTAGATGCGCTGAGCGGGGAGGCGGGCCAGCGCTGGCCCCGGCCCTTTTCAGCTGCCTGCGGGCAAGCCTGCTTTTCCTCACTGCGATTCTCAAGACAAATAAAATACTTTTTCTCATTCAGTTTTACTGAGCTTTTTTTTTTTCTGTTTTATTTTTAGCAAAGGTAACCATATTGGTCACTTTTGTTACCGTAAACACAGCGTTTCATTCTTAGTAAAGGCTCCGTTGGCCTCAGCCCCTGGGCCTGGCCACCGTTAGTAACGTCTTAGAGGGAACGCCACATTCTGAATTTCCTTTTACCAAATTTTAGACAAGGCAGAATGGGCCTCTGCTAAGTTTAGCTGTCTTCCTCCGCCTTGCAGTCAAATTCAGAGTTTACCAACCTGCTGTGTAAACCAGCTGTACACTCAGGCAGCGCAGGGTGGTAGCTGGAGGCCCGGTTCTGAGACGTGGGACTGTGTGCGGAGGCCATGGCGTCAGAGCTGGCAGGGTGTGCCGACCCCGCGCGATGACCAGCCTGCGGGGCCCACGATCGTGGAGAGCTGGGGGTCTCCCCAACTCCCAGGTCTCCCCAGGGTGGGGGAAGTGTGTCTGCAACAGGGCCGACAGAGTGGCAGGTCCCTGGGCCAGCAGGAGAGAAGCTAGAGCTTAGAATTTTACCCGCAGGAGTGGGCACTGTGGTCAGTGTTGAACTCCAGATCATTCTTGGGCCTCTGCAACAAAACAGAAAAAAAAAAAAACAGTTGTGGTTTTGAAGGTAATTATGTAATTAGAATATTTATCAAGGTCCAGTGTGACAGTCTGCTCCGGCTTCGTTCAGTTGGAGGTCAAATACTCGTCTGTATTTTCTCTCTCAGTTTATCTGGAAGTTATTTTTGTTGTGGGAAGTAAAGAATTGAGTGTATGTTTTTCCCAAATGGCAAATCCCCCGTCCCAGCACCACAGACGCCTTGCCCAGCATTCGGGCACTCCCCGACCTCTGTGTCTGCTCCTGGGCGCTGGGTTTTCGGGCGCTGGCAACCCCTCACCCGCTGCTCTCTGGCGCCGTGACCGCAGCACTTGTGTGTGGCCCCATGTGCTGTGCTCGCTCCCACCCTGCCCGGTTCCTCTCTTTATTTTTTTATTTTTTTAAGTAGCTCTCACTGGTTTGCTTTTGGATGAGCTTTCAAAACACTGTCCAGCTCCCCAGAAAAAACAAGACAGTGTCGAACACATAACTGAGTCCCTGCGCCAGTGCTGTGCACCGTGATGCCCTTGGTGCTACGCCCTTGGACGGGGCCCGCACCGTCATCGGCCTGTCGTGTGTCTCCTCGTGTGCACCCCGTGACACCGAGCACTGCAGGATGGGGTCAGAGGGCCAGAGACCACCGCCGTGGAGGACCCGGCCCTCTTCTGCCGAGTTCTCCTAAGTCCCCGCTTGCTGTGGTCCCACCAACCGCCCCCCGGCTCCCATAGGCAGGAGCCTCCTGGCACACTGCAGTCGCGTGGCAGTCTGAGCACACACGACGTGCCCAACACAAGCTACTCAGAGGAGCTGCTCATCTGCGTGCCCGTGCCCAGCTTGGCATGTGACCTGACGTGGCACCATGTAGCTTCCTGGAAACTGACTGGCCAGTGCTCTTACTGGGTGACGTGGGTGCGGGATGGGCGGCGGGCCCTCGAGGAATCCGAGACCAGGACCAGAGCGCTCTGAGTCAGCACCGCCGCTGGCTGGGGGCTTCTGTGTGTGTTCGTGGATTTCTTTTTATTTTATTGAGACGGTTTTTAACCTTCCCTTAAAACTTGGGAGGACCAGGACTCGGAATCCCACGAATACAGTAGAAAATGTAGGAAGGAATCCACAGTGAGAAATGGGCAGACAAGAAGGGAATGGACTTCTTTGGGCGGCTGTGAACCAACTTCTAAATGTTTCCTTTTTGATTTTAGAAAAACTTCGCCAACTGGTTTTTTGTTTTTTTTTTTGTTTTTTTTTTTTTTTTTTTTTTTTTTTTTTTTTTTTTTTTTTTTTTTTTTTTATTTTATTATTTTTTTGGGACAGAGAGAGACAGAGCATGAACGGGGGAGGGGCAGAGAGAGAGGGAGACACAGAATCGGAAACAGGCTCCAGGCTCCGAGCCATCAGCCCAGAGCCTGACGCGGGGCTCGAACTCACGGACCGTGAGATCGTGACCTGGCTGAAGTCGGATGCTTAACCGACTGCGCCACCCAGGCGCCCCTCGCCAACTGGTTTGATTCCACATACTTCAGCAAGCGGCGGGAGCTTTAACAGACTTCGTTTTTACTACAATGTTATTCAACTCTGTTAAATCTTTAAACCCTGAACTTTAAAAAAATATTACTCAGGCTTAGCTCATATGTGTTAGAAAAACCGTATCTGCTGGGCATTCTTAGGATAGGGGGTTGTGGGATACACGCTAAAGCAGATGTTGTTGAAAACAAAAATACCGTTCTGAGGATTCCTTTTGATATATCGTTCGTGTCCTCAACAGAAACTAAATAGATGTTGCTACAGTGGTTACCCCTTCTTCGGGGCCCACACCAGATGCCCCCATGCAGCCTCCCGGAGCCCCAGGCCTCCCCTGCTTCTAGGGAGGTGTCACTCTGCTCTTCCTAGGACTACACAGCCCACTGGGACACCGATCCTTGTAGACGGGAGTCTGGGAGCCTGTGGCGGAGACTGTCAGATGCCAGTGTTAACGGGGGCTCTGCCGAGGTGGTGGTGAGGGTCTGTGTGCGAGTAGAACAGGTGGGCCGCAGGGAGTGGCAGGTGACCCCGTCCTGTTAGCCTGCTCCTGTTCCTTGAGGGTAGGGAGGGTGGCTCGCCCCACGGCCGTGAGCACGGCGCCCGACAGCATGTGTGTGGTCACACATTATTGAACTGAGGTAATCCAAGAACAATCTTATTTCCTTATTTTAGAACAAACTCACGATGTTGGACATTGCATCAAACAGAATCAAAAAGATTGAAAACGTCAGCCATCTGACAGAGCTGCAGGAATTCTGGGTAAGTGGAATGACCGCCGGGATTGGTTCTGCCTCCGCTGAAGCGGCGCCACCGAGCGAGCGTAGCACTGAGTGCGTGCGGAGCGCCAGCCCCGGGCGCCTCCTACGCCGTGAGGTGGGGGGCGCTGTCGCAGAGTTTACTCTTGGCTGTGTGCGCCGGCATCACCCAGGAGGGGAACTCGGGCCCCGCGTCATCCCAGACGCACAGACGCGGGCTGTAGCGGCATCCGCGTTTTCACAGATTCTGGGGATCGCAGCGCACAACAAGATGTGAGAGGCCCGGATCTGTAGGGTGAGAGTTGTCTGTGACCGAGAGCTTTCCAGACCCGGCCCGGGAGCTAGTGCGTTCAGTGCAGATAGACCGCAGCAGCACAGGAGAAGCCGGAAGGCTCTCTGCACTCAGTCCTCCCGGGCTCTGCCTCGTGTTTTCTGAGGCCAACAGGTGTGGGTTGGGGAGTGGTATCCCAGAGCCGGGAGGAAGAAGTAGGAAGAGAAGCAGCACGTCGCAGGTCCTAACTTCTTGACTCCTCCAAAGCGTTGCACGACGGTCACCGAGCTGAGGGCCGCAGTGTCGGGATTCTGTGGCGTGCTCTCCTGACGTGTGTGCTCTGCCTGTCCCCGGGCTGGGGGCCCGTGCACGGATCGTGGCACACGTTTCACCCTGAGATCCTTTGAAGCGAGCGTTGTCCTGGGTGTGCTCAGCTGACCGGGCTGTGCGTGGAGTCTGAGACATGACTCTTCCTTCCATAGCCGTGCTGCTGACCCTGCTTACGTCATCTTAAAAACTCCTCCAAGTTTCCCGACAACACAGGTAGCCTGCTGTGAAAACGACCTTTGCCCCTTACCGATAGCGCTGGGTCTTGGGTCGTGTCAGGTTGTGGTGCCAGAGCAAATCTGGGGAGACCAGAACCAGAAGTAGAAAGGTGGGAAAACCTTCAGGAGGTTTGGGAAACCAGCTGATACTGAAGCAGTGTTTCTGAAATGTGTGATTGCTTCTACATGCCCTGCCAAGGGACAAGAGCATGGGACATGGGTGCTGAGACCACAGGTAGAGGCCAGCTGGGCACCCTGGCCATCGGGAAGGCAGGCAGGCAGGCTGGCACTTGCTGGAAGGTGGATAGTGCCCTGCCCTGTAACACACAAAGCAGATGAAGACAGTCAAATGAGGCAGAGCCTACAGTGCTGATGGTGTCCAGACTGCTTCCTCTTCTGATCTGCTGATCATAGCAACCCTGCGAAGCAGGCAGTATTATGCCATTTTACCACTGAGGAGTTGCATTTCAGGAAGGGAGGTTGCAAACTGGGAGCTCTCAAACTCTGCTGTGCTCCTATCACATGTAGGGTTTGCTTAGCTATGAGCTGGTCTCTGAGAGAGAAATAGGAAGCCAGGCTTAATAAAATTTTAATCACCCAAATCCTATGTTTATTGATGTTCTGCTTGTCCTGCCAGTTACTGAGAGAAAGATGTTGGAATATCCCAAACATAACCGTGGGTTTGCTTTCTCCGTTCAGTTCACCGGCTTTTGCTCCTTGTATCTTTAAGGTTTTTATTGGTTGCATACACATTTAGGGTCATAGTGTCTTCTTGAGGCATTGTCTTTTCATCACATGGAATGTCCCTTTTCCGCGCTGCCCTCTTTGTTCTTGTCCTGAATTCTACCTCTCCGTGTTAACCTGGCCGTTCTATCTTTCTCCTGTTACTGTTTCCATGGGTATCTTTCTCCATCCATTTACTCATCCTCTGTCTTCATGATAGGTAAAATACGTCTCTCGTAGACAGCACATCGGTTTTGCTTTTTCATCCAGTCTGACCATCTCTGCCTTTTAAGGGCAGTATTTACCCTGCTCATGTTTAGTACAATTACATTCACTTACACTTTGTGCAATGGTTGGGTTTAGGTCTGCCATCTTGCTATTCGGTTTTTATTTGTCCCATGTGTTCTTTGTTCCTTTTTTTCTCTTTTCTTGCCTTCTTTTTGGATTAGAAAAACATTATTTTTGGTAGTCTATTTTATTTTCACTATTGACGTAATTTGCTTATATCTGTATGCTGTATTTTAGGAATCACAAAATATATTTTCAATTTATCACAGTCTGCCTTCAAATGATATATCATGTCACAAATAATGTAAGTCCCTTACAGGAGTGTGCTTCCATTCCTCTCCAACAGCTGACATTGCCCTATGTTTTACTTTTCATAGATTTAAGCCCCGTGACATGTTGCTGTATCAGTTATCTTTTAAGGAAATTTAATAACAAAATCCACTTATTTTACCATTTCTGGCATTTTTTAATTGTTTTATGTGGTTTCCATTGTGCCATTTCCCTTCCACCTGAAGAATTTTAATAATTTTTTATTGTGCAGCCTGTTGTAAACCAATTATTTCAGCTTTGATCTGTCTGGAAAAGTCTCTTTATTTTGCTTTCATTTTTGAAGTATGGGATTACAGCTCTACAATTCTAGTTTGCCAGTTTGGGGGGTTTGCCTACAGCACTTCATACGTGTTCCATTGTGCTCCAGCCTGCACTGTTCCTGATGAGAAATTGTTAGTCATTCTCGCCCCTTCTGTGTGACATGTCTCTCTCCCTCCAGCTGCTTTTTTTTTTTATATATAATTTTTTTAATGTTTATTTTTGAGAGAGAGGGACAGACAGCGTGAGTGGGGGAGGGGCAGAGAGAGAGGGAGACACAGAATCCGAAGCAGGCTCCAGGCTCCGAGCTGTCAGCACAGAGCCCGACATGGGGCTTGAACCCACAAACCATGAGATCATAACCTGAGCTGAAGTCGGATGTTCAACCGACTGAGCCCCCCAGGCACCCCTGTCTCCCTCCAGCTGCTTATTTATGTTCTATCGTCACTTTTGTTTCTTGCAACTTGAAGGTCACGTGCTGTTGAGCTTTGGGGATCTGTGAATTTATAGTTTTCAAAATCAGATGCAGCAAACTTCTGAAAATAATTTCCTCCAAAATTTACTCTGCTCCCCTTCCCCCAGTTTCTTCCTAAAACTCCAATTATGCATATGTTGTCCAGTGCTTGGTCACTGGGTCACTGGCTTTTATGTTGTGTGCTTGCGTTTGTATGATTTCTGTTCCTATGTCTGTAAGGTCATGATCATCTGCAATATTCATATGCTGTTAAGCTCTTGGAGTCAGTTTTTTAGCTCAGATGTTATATTTTTCAACTCTAAAAAAAAGTTTGGTTCTCTTTTTATAGATTCTGTTTCTCTCCTTAATGTTTGTGTTTCCCTTGAAGCCTTCCTTTTTCACATGGCTAGTCATTTTTGTATTAGATGCTGGCCATTAGGATGTTAAGTTATTGGGGCACCTGGCTGGCTCAGTCAGTAGAGCATGAATTCTTGGTCTCAGGGCTGTGAGTTCAAGCCCCACGCTAGGTATAGAGATTACTTAAAAATAAAATCTTTTTTTAAAAAGATGTGAAGTTATTGACTCTGGATTTTTTTTTTTTTTTTTTTTTTTTTTTTTTTTTTTTTTTTTTGCTTTCCTTTAAAGTGTATTGGCCTGTATATCTGGCACACAGTGAACCTGATCCTTTTGAGGCTCACTTTCAGCTTTATCAGCATGAATCTACGAAGCCTGTCCTCTAAGGCTACTCTGCTCTGTTTCTAGGCTGTGACCCTTCTTGGGTCTCTAGTGAATGCCCTGGGCATTTAACGAGGTCTCTGCCTCTGGTTGGTGATGGCGCAAACATGTCCTTTCCGTGCATGAGCTCTGGCCTTGCCCAGTTCATTGCTTCTGGCACCTCGTGGCTTCTATGCTGTGGCCAGTCCTGTAATTTCACGCCACCATCCACACTCAGTTGTCAGTCCAAGATTCAAGGGGACACTGGGTGCCCTTCTGGAGCTTTTTTCCTATACAGCTCACTCCTCTCCAGAAATCCCAGCTGCCTCTGCCTTCCCAAACCAGATTCACTGTCTCAACTCACTGTGGCCTCCAGGCTCTACTTGGGTTCCCCTGTGGTCCACAGCGTGCCTGCAGACAGAAGGCCAGATGCACACAGAGCTCACCTCCCTCGTTTCCTTGCTCTCTGGAGTCACTGTCCCGCGTCACCTGTTGTCCAGTGTATGCAAACAGCAGTTTCATGTTACTTGTCCTGTCTTCCAGTTTACGACAGAAAAGTGGAGTCCCGCTCCAGTCCTTCCCTCGCTTGAAGTGGAGGTCCTGTGACTTCATGTAATTTTTCACTTTTCTCTCTCACTCCTCCACGGCACACCGTGAGCTTCGCGGGGCAGAGGAGTCTCACTTTTGCTCAGTGTTGCCTCACCAACCCCTAGAACAGTGCCTGGCACACTCTCGGTTGAATGAGAGGCAGGAATTTAGGAGAGGAAGCTTGGGTAGCTGGGTGGAGACCAGCTGTGGATAACATTGAAAATGACCCCGTGCAGGTACGTGAGCTGAGGGTTACTGTATTAAAAACGGCTCCTAGAGGGGCGCCATTTGAAAACGGGAGGTGGGGAACAGAGCACGAATAGGCATGTCGCAGAATAAGAAGTAACAGTTGCTCGTAGGTACATAAAGCGTTTCCTACTTATTAATTTTTAGAATACACTGAAACAGTGAGATGTGGTGTTTTGATGGTCAGGTTGACAAAGCCTTTGCTAGAATGAGGCGTGCGTTGTGGCGAGCACTCCCTTGGGCGCTGGCAGGACTCTGGTTGACACGTGTTCTGGGGGGCATTCAGAGCCTTGGAACTTTCACATCTAAGACCTAACAAAATGATGAGAAAGTCAAAGATTATGTACAAAAATACATAGACATCAGGATTTGCGTTTGTTGTTTTTTTTTTTTTACAGTGGAAATAGCTTTGTTGTATTTTCTAACGATAAAAGTATTTCTGTTCGTCGTAAAAAAGAAAAAGATCATATTACAAAGAAGAACGAGAAATCTGTTTTTTCCTTGGTTTTCAGCGTTTAGGGTCAGTTTAGAAAAGGTCATAAACCCAAAACTTATAAAAACAATTGTCCAGATTTTCTTCTGAAACT